AACACCGAAAGAGAATGTCCGAATATTTACAACAAAGCCTACTAAAAGCAGAATAAAAGGAGCACCAACAAGGGTGTCCTAACTAACAAAAACTAACACCATTCCAGTCGCCTAATCTTGTCATAGTCTGAGGCCATGAAAACCAAGATTTGCTCAGGAAATGGTGGTGCTAATCCAGAGAAAAGCAACAAACAAAAGATAAGCTAACCACTGAACCAGAGGACCTAGCAAGCCTATCACTACCCAACACAAAAAAACTAAGCAAAAGGCCAACCAGAAAAACTGAAAGCTACCAGAAAACTAGCCCCCCATTGCTACAAGGACGAACTATCAAATTCTAACCAAGCCGAAACAGCTAGCTGTACAATAGTGTATTCCGGGATCCAGTAGTTTTGAAACACCCATTGATTACGGGCCTTCCAAATCCACCACAGCATGAAGATGGTGAAGTGAAGCCTGTTAGCGGACTGAGTGTTATTCTTTAGAGTGCTCAGCTTGGTCCACCAGTTTTTGAAGTTGGGTGTAAAGTCTTCAAGTCCATCCCAGGAAATGGGAGCCATTTTCCAAATGTTTCTAGCTTTAGTACAGTGGAAGAGGAGATGTTCAGTGGTTTCAGGTTCAGCACCACAAATTTTGCAAATTGGGTCAATGCCTTTGAGTCTTCTATGTAGAGCTTGGGTTACAGGGAGAGAGTTGTTAAAGCATTTCCACAAAAAGTGTTTCATTTTGCCCATAATTTTCAGAGACCATATCTTGTTTCTAGCATTTCTTACTTCTCTTATCATCTTGCTGCTCTCTGGGATGTCCAGCTTGCTCCATTTATCCTCAACCAAGGTTGTGTATACCTCTGAAACTGTGAGATTGCCTGATTTGCTGTGCTTCCAGTTGAGTTTATCATCCTGGTGAGGATCCAAGCCTTTGATTCTGAGAATGGCATTACTTTCTTCAGTTGGAAAACATAGGAGTATTTTATCAAGGTCCCAATTTCTGCCTGTATTATCTATCAGCTCCTGGACTTTGGTGATGCTGTTCTTCCAGGGGTTGTTTGGATTTGGCTTGTTAGCTGACAATGAGGGGATCCAGGGGTGGTGCCAGATGTTGATCCCAGAGCCATTGTTCACTTTGAAGATTACATTCTGAGTGAAGAAAGCTAAGGTCTTTCTCCAGCTGGCCCAAAGCCAAGATGAATTGCTTTGTTTCTTAACATTGAAAAGAGAGGAAGTGTGGTAGTACTTAGCTTTCATTACTCTGCTTACTAGGAGATTTGGATTAGAGTGTAGTCTCCACAGCTGCTTAGCTATCAATGCTCTGTTAAACAGGTGAATGTCATGAAACCCTAGCCCCCCTTTATCCTTAGGCAGAGTGATAAGATTCCAGGACCTCCAGTGAATGCTCTTTGCCTCTCCCTTCTTGTTTTTCCACCAGAAATCAGCAAAGCTTCTTGCAATTTTGTCACAGGTAGCTTTAGGGAGCATGAAGCAAGACATTGCATAAATGGGGAGAGCTTCCAAAACCGCTTTGAGGAGAGTTTCTTTACCTGCAAGTGAAAGGAAGGAGTTTTGCCAATTTGATAGCTTTTTCTGGATTGCGTGGTCTATAAACGAGAAGGTGTCAAGTTTAGATTTTCCTATACCTAGGGGCAGCCCTAGGTATTTTGAAGCAGTTTGAGTTTGGATGCCCATGAGAGTGTTACAAATCTGGTTTTGGAGGATTTGGGGTGTGTTTTTGCTAAAAAAGACGGAGGACTTTTGAAGGTTTACACATTGCCCTGAGATGGCATTGTACTGGTTGAGAATTTGGAGAATGAGGAGGGCTTGGCTGTTATCAGCCTTTGAAAGTAGGAGGGTGTCATCAGCAAACATGAGGTGGGTTAGCAGAGGGCTGTTCCTGCAAATTTTAATGCCTTTATAATGACCTGAAGAAGCAAAGCTGTTAATGATAGTAGAAAGAATCTGTGAAACCAACAAGAATATATAGGGAGACAGTGGGTCTCCCTGCCTGATTCCTCTGGAGGGAGTGACATATCCACACACAGATCCATTCACATTGAAAGAAAAGGAAGCTGAGTTCAAGCAGGCCAAAATCCATTTAACAAAGGAATTATGAAATCCTAGCTTAAGCATAATGTTTCTCACACAGGACCATTCCACTCTATCAAAAGCTTTAGACATATCTAATTTAATCATCATGTAGCAAGAGTTGCCTGTCCTATGATTATTAAGAAAATGGATCACTTCATGAGCTAGGATAACATTATCCAATATCTGTCTATTAGAGAGGAAAGCCGATTGAGAATCATGAATACAAAGGGGGAGGAGGGGTTTAATTCTACCAGCAAGAATCTTCGAAATGACTTTATAAGTGACACTACAAAGACTTATGGGTCTAAATTGAGACACTTTATCAGGCTTCTGCACTTTAGGAATTAAAGTGATGAGAGTGTGATTTATACTTTTCAGCATTTTACCAGATTGAAAGAAGCTATGGACAAGGGCACAAAGATCAGATTTAATGGTGGACCAAAAGTGCTGAAAAAAGAGGGAAGTCATACCATCTTGGCCCGGAGCTTTGTGTGGTGAAATGGAGAAGAGGGCAGATCTTATTTCATCTTCATCAACATCAGCAATGAGGTCAGTGTTCATGGATTCTGAGATCACCTGAGGAATTTCATCCATCACTGGGTCAGCTTGAGAGGGTCCTTGAGAGGAAAAGAGAGTTTTGTAGAACTCTTCAATGCATTTAGCTATTTCATCAGTTGATTCACACCAATCAGATTCTTCATTTAAGAGCCTAGCAATCCTGTTTCTCTTCCTTCTGTGGGTAGTTTGGGCATGGAAAAACTTGGAGTTTTTGTCCCCATGCTTGAGCCATGTTATCCTTGATTTTTGGTGCCAGAATTGCTCCTCTGATTTGTACAGCTCATTGAGCTCTTTTTGGATAAGGTCCCATTTGTACCAATCTCTAAGCCCTCCTTCCCATCTCATTTCTGTCAGTTGTCTGTGGAGAAGTTCAATTTTCTGTGCATTTTCAGTTTTAAATTTACAACTCCATTTCAGCAGCTGAATTCTCACCACTTTGATTTTCTCTTGAAAGCAGAACATGGGAGTTCCTGATTGATATAGGTTCCAAGCTTTAGAGACCACTTCTTCCACCCCTTCTCTCTGGATCCATCGTTGGTCAAAGAAGAACCTTTTCTTCGGCTGAGAAGTATTTGGGTTGGTATGAAGGCAGAGTTGGCTGTGATCTGAAGAGCTCATGAATTGGTTAAGCACCACTGTGTTGGGATAGAGAGACATCCATCCTAAAGAGCAGAATATTCTGTCAAGTTGTTCCTCCACATACCCTTCTCCTTGCCTGTTGTTGGCCCATGTAAATTGATGTCCTTGGAGTGGGATATTCTGCATGCCCATTAATGAGATGAATGTGTTGAATGCATTGAATGATGATAGCCCTCTGACATTGCCTCCTCTTTTATCTTCTTGGCAGGTGATATCATTCCAGTCCCCTCCTACAAACCAATAGTCACCCCAATGTTGCTGGGCATTTAATAGGAACTGCCATTGCTCTTGTCTGAGATGCTGCTGAGTACTTGCATATACAAAGGTGCCCCAACAAGTTTTGTTAATCTCTTCATCCCAGTACTCCACTTGTATGCAAAAATCGGATTTGATTACTTGAAAAATATGCACTTCAGAACTCCATATCAGCAAAAGACCTCCACTTTTCCCAGTTGGATTGATAGCTGACCAATTCTCTCCAACTCCTAACTTTCTACAAACAGTATGTACAAATTTTTCTTTTTTTTTTGTTTCTGAGAAAAAAGCAAAAACGGGGTGGTGGAGTCTCCATGACTCCTTCAGCTGGGATATTGTAGAGGCCCCACCCAGTCCTCTACAATTCCACAAGGTTGTCTTCATTGATCAGGGTGGGGCCACTTGGGGCTGGCCTCCCTCTCCCTTTGATCATTCAGTTTCCTTTTCTTCTTGTTTAGAGAGTTCTCTAGGTTTGAGCTGGTTTGGGAATTCTCTACAGGTTCTAGGATAGTGAGCTGCCTTTTAGTTCTATTGAGGCTGGTAGAGCTTGCAGTATTGGCTTCCCCTTTAGAGGTGGATGGGGTTTTTCTTTTCCATGTTTTGCTGGTGGCAGATGTGGTGGTATTGTTTGGATTGTTGTTTTTAGGACTGGTGGTCGGAGAAGGTGGGACTTTGAGGGCT